AAAAAAAAAAAAAAAAAATTTATTCTAAGGCTGGTGGTCTTTTTGTGTGTGGAACAGAGGACCTGTAAACTAGTCCAAAAATAGAAATAAACACGCCTATAGCTTTTGCCTTAGGCTCTTGAACATCATCTCCCTGAGACCAATACTCTGCCATGTTGTATGGCAGTATGGCGGCCCGTGGAGAGGCCCCTTGGCCAGAATAGGTCTGTCTCACACCAAGGAACTGAGGCATCCACAGTCACATGACAGAGGCATTGTGGCCTCTAGTTTTGGGTGATGGCCCCTGGCCCACAGTGACTTCAGGAGAGATTCCAACCAGAACCACAGCTGAGATGTGCATCTCCCAGGCCCACTGAAATGAAGACAACAATCCACTAGGGGGCGCTTGTCAACACAGCAACAGGTCGCTAACACTCCAATGGCCTCTTGTTGATCACAGCTGTAGTGGACTGTGATGGGGTGTGGAGCCCCTGTTACTAACAAGACCTCCCCCCTCAGTTTTTCTCAGCTTTGGTTTTTCCCACCTGAAGCATGGGTGAGGTCCCAGGTAGCCTATGTCACCCGAGACTGTAACTGGAAGCTTCAACATCAGAGTCTGCCGCGGGAGGATATCTTGCATTTGCTTGACCTTGCATTATTTTGACAGCCCCAGATAATGAGATGTGGAGGCCTCCAACCAGCATTCAGCGTTGCTGAGTTTAGCCATGCTGGCATTGAGGGGGGCCATGAGCACCCCAAGATGCCACAGTCAGGAGCAGCTTCCTTTGGCCAGCCGAGGATGCACCTCAGGCTTCTTTTGCCCTGCATTGTGTTCCAGACAGTGCCATCCCTTAACCTATTACACGAGCTGACTGCAGATGACAGCAGCGTCCCCTATGGCCAGGCAACACCAGTCTCAACACCAGCAGGTTCAGGCATTACCTGGTGGGTCCACTTGGGTTTGAAAGGAACAACAGTCCCACAGTTATGCCAAAACCAAGGGCTATGTTCAAATTAATAAGTCCTGGCACATAACCAATTCCTGGGGAATTTGCTCCAGGATCTTCCACTGTAGACATCAAAGCCCATGATGCTCAAGGGCCTACATAGAACAGTGTAGTTCTGTATAACTTGGGCATGTTTCTCCAAATACCTCAAACCATCTTGTAATACCTATCACTAACACAACGGAAATGCTGTATAAATAGTTGCTCATTGTGCTGTTTAGGGAATAACTGCAAGAATGCAGTCTATATGCTCAGTACAGGAGGAACATTTTTTCGGCAATAGTTTCTGTGTATAGTTTATTGCATCTACCTGTGTGGAACCCACAGCTACACAGCGTCGACTGTATGCACAACCACAGACCCACACTGCCGGTAGTTCCTGTCTGCCCACAGGAAGACACGTTATAACTGCCATCCAAAACCCTATTCCAGGCCTTTGCCAGCTATGATTGCTTCCTTGTGGACTCCTGCCTGGCACTGTGTGGCCTCTGCTTCCCACAGCCCCTGGGACAGGGGAACCTACCCAGCTCTCCTCCTGAGATGGAGAAGTCTCTCTCAAGAATGGCCCACTTCTGGATGTGATAGGGCCGGGCAGCCGCATTTGCATTGACCCTCCGAATGCCCTCTTCGATGGCCTGGTACACAGCTTCATCCCGCTGGCTCACAATCTCAGACACGGTGCTGGCTCTGCTGCCCACCCTCTGGCAGAACTCCACAGCTTGCTCTGTCAGGTTGTCCGTTGGGTTAGAGGTGTCTGGGTCCAGCGTGCACTGAAAAGCCAGAAAACAGCTGAGCACTGGCCGCACTCTGCAGGAAGCAGACAATGAGGAGCTAACTACAATGGGCTGCTTCAGAGAAGGCCCTAGAATGAACAGTGCCACCGT